GATGCCTCGAGCTTAGAGATAACGATCCATTTTCACATCCAAAATTATACGGTAATTATTTCACTGATCCACAAGATATGGAGACAATGAAAGAGGCTATTAAATACGTTATTAAGTTGGGAGAATCAGAGCCATTTAAGAAATACGGTGCCCAACTATACTTGCCATCATATCCGAATTGCCAAAGCCATGGTCCTGGTTCTGATTCATATTGGGATTGTGCTATCAGAACAATGGTGGTGTCCCTCCACCATCATGTAGGTACATGTAAAATGGGACCTCCTAATGACCCTGAAGCTATCGTAGACCCTGAATTAAGAGTATATGGTGTAGACGGACTGAGAGTTGTAGATTTAAGTGTTTTGCCTCACACAATAAGTGGGCATATGACTGCTCCGGCACTAATGATAGGCGAAAAGGCTGCCGATATGATTAAAAAGATTTGGTCAAATGTGGTCGTGTGATACTAGTTAGGTTTACTCATTATATTAATAAATTATTATAAACGATTTACGTTTTATTTTTTAACCATTTTATTACTTATATTGTGTTCTCTATTTTATGAGTTTACTGTATAAATAAATTCACAAATTTGAAAAGAAACGTAGGTTTTTGTTAATTGATCTTTTGTTTCAGTTTATTAGCGTTAAATACATCGACGGATCACAAGGTACCTTTAAAAATATGCGGTCATGACTTGATTCAATACCTTAAGGTTTGCTGAAAGATAGTATTTTATGCAACTCATGTTTCCGCGAAGAAAATTAATGGTTTCTCAGTAGAGTTCCATTAATGGGTCTCTGAATATTACCATAATAAAAATACTACTCATTTTAGTTTAACTAAAATATTCTTACATTACGTTCAAATTTAAATAAAGAATATCAACAATGAAAAAACGTTAATAAATACGAAAAAAAACTATTATATTAATAAAATGTACATGGACTCAATTACTATTCATAACAATATCTGGTAATTAAAAAAATACAATTTTCATACAAAATAAATCAAAACTACATAAATTGTTTGTTAAGATAAAAATAAAAAACGAGCTTCTAAAAATACCGTCTACATAAGCCTCAAGTGAGAATGTAATCGTTTGGGTATTCAAACAACAAGCTTCATAAAGGGAGTCCTCCGGAAATCTCCGAGCCTTCTACGCCTACATACTCTGAATAGCAACACCCTATCAGCCGCACTCATTCATAAGATACTACCGAAATAACATAGCAAAAATATATAAACGTGTCAAGACTCGTAGATTTAACCTATCCATAAAATTGTTTTATATTATTTTCTTATTAACTCGTTCTTAATTTTTCTAAACTTTCTTCAAAACTTCTTACGACTTAAGTAAACTTTTTAATAAACAGTAAACGGTTTTATGTACATATGTGCTAATTAACACCTTATACGCAAGAGTTGCAAAGTTACAATTAAGTATATTTGCTATTATTAGAGATTAGGCGTACCGGTACGCTGATAAAGTTGATGTACTATGGTAATGATGATGAATGAAATCATGATTTTTAGGGTTCCGTGCCGCATAGGAAAAAAACGGAACCCTTATAGGATCACTTTGTTGTCCGTCCGTCTGTCTGTCAAGACCCTTTTTTTTTAATAAAACTGCGATTGTTAATTTTACACTTAGGACTAAACTTAACACTAATCTAGTTACACATGTAAACATGTTTGCAATTTATACCTACGCAAGTTGTGTCAAAGTATACAGAAGTGATACATACGCTGCATAGATTCAATTTCCACTACTTATTGTGTTACTAGTCTCGAAATTAGGTTCCGTACATTGATAACTCTCACCGTGAATTTCCACATGCCTTACCACTTGTGTTAAAATATTTAATTATTTATGTTTTAAAAGAGGGTTAATACTATAATACGTTTTTATATACGTGTTTCCAAATGAAAAAGTTGAAATAAGTACAGCGTGAATATTGATTTCATAATACTACAGATTTTGATAGACCCCCTTTCAAAATATGTATCTTTTCGAGGTTATTTCAACGCTAGTTAAGTTATACACTAATTGCTTGACTGAAACAGGGTTGTTTCATCATCACCATTATCACTTCTATATTTGAAACGTTTTAATAAACTAATTTTAATTTAGGCGTAGAATTGGCTTATTACAAGTATAAAGTATACAAGTAACTGGATGATATTTGAATGTCAGTGAGATGAGTTCGGTTCGAGAATTCATAGTAAAGTCGAGGTTGCTCAATGAATGGGCGGGAAGCGCAGTCGCCCACGCTCTGTGGCGCGCGCGAACGTTGGGAAAGTGTCTCGCGCTCCCTCAACAAGTGAGGCAAGTTATAGAGCTTTTAGCAAAAAAAGCTATGTGAAATATTCTAACAGTGGTAAAAGTTTTAGGGAATATTTATCACACATAAATTATTGTCTTTTTATAATTAAAGTGAAGTTTTGTTGTGTCTAAGTTAATATTTAATTTATTCCGTGATAAATAAATACTTCGATGCCGGCTAACTGCTAGAGCTAAGTTTCAGTAGTAAGTTTTAAAGGATTATTGTTAAAATTTTGAACTTTTAATCCATGTTTCGGGCTTTTCATTTAACATTTATTATTATTTCATCGCAATCAAATATGATACTTTTCGCAATATTAATGCAAATGAATTAATAAGCTATTTATTTTAAACAATTTAAAATAAAGCGTAACATTTAAATAAATTTTATTTACATTTACATGAAATGTACATAAAATTAAATTTATGTAAAACTATTTTTAATTTGACATAAGTGCAAGATTTATTCTTTATGAAATAACATAGATTTCTAAAATCAAAATACTAATTTACCGTACATATAATTAATAAATACGCAGAAATTAAGAAAGGCAAGGTGTATTTCTCGACTACTTTCATTTCTCTCTAGTCTGAAAGAGATATTTTCTATAGATAACACCGCTAATGTCTAAATTGGCACAAGAAATCCTTTTCGTTACTATTTAAATTTAGAATACAATATGGTATATAAAAACATTTTTGAAGAAAACATTTTCAATCGTAAAAGGATAATTTATTAGACCAATAATTCAAAAACTTACGAAACGTTTCGACTTTTGGGATAAAAATCTTTTATATTTTCTGTTAGAATCCGTAAACGATTTAAACGACTGTGAGGAAATATTTCTAAGGACTTTGCCCACAATTTAGTCGTTGCGAAAAATAACTACTGCCTACATGTTATGAATAAAACAGTTGTATATAGAAATACGTGAAAGAAATGGGTACGGAAAAAAATATTTTCTGCAACGTTTTTACAAATATTTAATAAATGATTAACGTATAGTACTTTAGTATTTATTTGCAGCTAATTAAGTAATCTTTTATACTACTACTTTAGAAAATAAATCCGCATGAATCACAGAGTCTACTTAGACTATATTAATAGAAATAACTAAAACATAGACATAAACTAAATATAATGTTCGGTCGACTCTAAATTTAAAAAATTGGGTGATAATTTCATTCATTTATTTCTTTCATAAAAAATGTTTACTATTTTTTAATGTAAATTTTTTTTAATAGCTAAAATCACATATTAGGTTTGTTATCTCATAAAATTTACTAAACATTGGGAAAAATTTTTGAAAATCAAAAAACGTTCAGATTTATTACAACGCAGTAAGTTACGGGCTTTTGACTCCGAGTGAAGCGGAGGAAATAAATCAAATTAACTGTAATAAATTCCGTTCCATTCATAAGCTTCATCAAAGCGATTTGTCAACATAATGGCCGTGAGGTTTTTTATAAAACAGAAGTTATACAAAATAAACTATTAAGCAATTCTTTATCAGAAGTCACAACCGGACATTTTAACATACAATATTTTTTTAAATAATGTAAGTAGTAAGGTTATCAGAGCTTGCTTACTTACAGCGTCAAAAATAAAATAAATGCTTACATAATTGTACTTGATCTTAAAGTAATTTTACGTTAAATTCAACTAAACCAAATATTTTTACTGAATAAAATGTTTCACCTGATAATACATCGCTTTAGAATAATTCGATTGTATGAACTTAGATGTACTATCTATTTATGTGCACTATGTATATATATTATATTCGATTATTTAAATGACGTCATACCATAAGATTCATTGATATTCATATCTCATTGATAAATTGTTGCTAAAGAAATTGTCCAAAATAGTAAGACAATTTGGTCGATAATAAAGCGATCGCAAAACTATTTTCGTTTCGAAATAAATGTAAAGGTCGTTTCTTAACTAACGAGAACTTCGAACTTCTTGAAACGCCGCAAAAGTAATTCGTTGTGTTTTTAAAATATCAAGCATTAACTGGGTCGTGAATCAAGATGGCGGAGGTGATAAATTTCTAATACTTTTATTATTTATCTCGTTGAGTCCATACCCACCTCGTACCTTCCCTTCCGAGGTTTCGCTTGGTACGTGAAGCTATTACTGCGTAGGACGTGAAATACGACATAAACGAACGAGTTACGACGCTCTCTTCTATTGCCCATATAATGCGCTTACTGTCACGTTAAATTGAAATTGCCAAGTATATCACCACCACCATGATTGCCTTCGACGAACTCAATCAATACGGTGTACATTGACTTTTGTTAGTTAAGAATAATTGCGCTGACAAAGTCCGCAGCATCCTACTTTATTAAAAATTTGTAAATACTTGCTCTTAATATCATCATTTTGTTACAACGGGACTGACAAGAACATTAGAACCAAAGTCCCTATAAAAATAAAAATAAATTACAGATACTAAAGTAAAATAAATTTAGAAATTGATGGTGTTAATTTATAATCATTTCTCCATTAATTTGTATATACCATAGATGTCATTAATTTTCATTTTAAATACAGTGTTATGTTATGTGCTCTTGAATATTTAAATGTTCAATTTGAAAACATTCAGATGTTTTGAACATCAATGAACGAGTTTATTGACGATGTGTTCAATTTAATTAATTAATTAATAAGTGTTATGTGTAAGTTAGGAATGGTTTGCAGTGATAGTTGATATTGGTTGTGATCAAAGAACAAGATGGCGACGCGGGGGACCAAACGCTTATTGTCGATTTTCTTCAGCATTCTTCTGCTGGGACGAGCTATTGCTGGTGAGTAGAGTTCGAATATTTTTTAAATTAATGTTTTAATTTTTTTATCGACGTTCATGGACATCCACCACACCCAAAAAAAAAGTTAGATGCTTTTAAAATAGTTTGAAAATTTTAAAACAAAAAAACACTATTTTAAATCATCTGTTTGTAATAGTATTGTGGGAATACAATTTGAATGTACTTTAGAAATATAAAATATAGCTTCTTTTTGCTTCGCGGTTATTTAAAAGTCGAATATTTTATTTAAACGAAACTACAAAGTTTCGGTCTGTAGTTTTGTTGAAATGTAAATACTCAACTTTAAACTCTACATCTCTGTAATAATTGATGCAATTGCACAAAAGCTCAAATGCACGAAGAATTTTTTGCTACGTAAAGTTCTTTCGTTCCAGACTCCCAAGCGGGTGTATAAGAACCTTATGAAAATAGTAAAAGCTGCGGATTGTTTTATAAATACCGAGTACAATTTTCTGGGAAAAACTATTAAAGAAACATAATGCATTGGGAAAACATAAAATATATGTTTTGTAGAGTCTATTTGGCAGTGGAAGCTCACGTTTAGTTAATGCATCTTACTAATATTATGCAATGCAATACACATTTTTACGTGAATGGATAGATATTTGTTTGAAAATATCTTCAGAACAACTAAACGAGTCCGGCTGAAATATAGCCGTGACGTAGAACATAGTCTGGAAGAATACATGGTCTACTAATTACGTTTTTTTAATACCGCGCAGACGGAGTCGCGGGCCCCAGCTAGTTTAAAAAATAAATAATTTTCACTTATCTTTATAGTATTTTCAAACTTATTGCTCATTGATGGTCATTTCGGTATCTTAACAATTTTATGTCATCGCTACATCAAACATCGCGATAACAACTTAGGACATAGCTTTAACTTTAGTCGAACCAATTAATTCTATGTTCTGTCACCTGCAAACAGTTATATGGCCACATGATGCTATTTATCGTACGGCTCGTGAAATAAGAACATAAACGTAAAAGTAACGATCTCCCTCGTTCACATTCACAATATAATGCGTCATCACATCAAGTGATTGCGTTTTACTTTCTGATTGAAATAGAAGACAATCAAATGAATGTTACGAAGAAATTTATTGGTATTCCTGTGATGAAACAATTCAAGTATGCTCATACAAATCTTAACCACATTGCGATCAAAAATGGTAGAGCTTACTTAATTATACTTTTCACATTTATTCATTTATGTAACCGTTGATTTCTAATCAAAATCTCTGAATAAAACATATCGTAATCCCTGTCATTATATTTGAGAAAGCAGAGATAACAATATATTTTAAACGAAGAATTTGGTCTAAGAAACCCAGCGTATAACTAGATTAGACAAAGCTTATATATTCGATATTAGTTGATTCCTGGATCTAACAAAATGACGATCATAAAATGATTACTGTATAATTTTAGTATTGTATTTTGGTACAGTGATAAAATTATTGCTGTTTGTTAATAATTTTTCTTGCTGAACAAAATAAAGGACGACATTTATCGCGCAATAAATTACCGCAGACTTTTTGCCGGTAACAAAAAAATTAGTGATGTTTTTTTTTAAAATAAATACAGAGAAGGGAAAGGAATCAAATTGGGTCTTTGGCCATACATATCAACAACGCAAAAATAGTTCCATTTCACGCCTGTCTTCAATACTAAGGTATTAATATAAAATGTATCTGCGGGCTCCTGTACTACTATTATACTATAGGAGCTATCGTAATATATTTATCTAGAACATTAACCGTAGTTTGAAGTAAGGCAAAGTTGTCGTATTGCATGCACGCTAATGTCATTTTGATTAGACAGGAATAAGGAATATTAATACGAGTCTAATATGCCCGTTCCTTACACCTTCAGAAACGAAATTAATTTTAATACTATATTACAGCTTTCTTTAGTTTTAAATAGGTTGTTTGTCTACTTTATTTATCTTTGAAATTGTCCTCCGCAGTCATCTTTGTAAATATCGTTAAATTTTCAAACATTACTTGCAACGACCGTAAAATCTTTACTGTGTTTCTAAGTTAAGAAAGGCATGAGCAAACATTCAGCATCCCTTAAGGACACTTGTGACGAGAAACGTCTCTGTCGACTCGTTTTTGCTTCCCTGCAAGTCACACGTAATTCTTACGTATAATTTTTCTTAACTTCTAATGTTCGTTATTTTCTTGAATATTGTATATGTCATATTTGTTAAAGTTCTTTATACACTTTTATTAATTACCGTACGTTAATAGAAACGATACCGTATTCGATCAATTAATAGCACGTGGTTTATTGAAGTTAAACTTGGGGTTATTTAAAATCATTAGTGTATGAACTCGGCTTAAGTTACAAGTTATAGTTGCTTAACATTATGAAACATGCTTTAATTTGGATGATTTCATTCCTCTGATGATAGTACGTATACAAAATATCTGTCGGTACAGAATGTTTTGCATTTTATTTCTCTTCTTTGATATCCCATATTTTAAAATAGGTTTATATTAAAAGACAATAGGCGACGTAGGCGTTACCTCCACCATTTTTTTACATTTCATCGCTTTAAAATGGACATATTCCACTCTTGTTCTATGAAATATCAATGCTTTATACAAATGCAGCAGGTTTTGTAATCCTTTATTCATACAATACATGTGAATACGTACATATGTAATCTATGTATGTGTTTAGATTTTTTTTTATTTTGTGTCTTTTCATTTTCCAATGTTGTCAAGCATATTCATCATATAACTTAACCGTAACTTTAAAAGGCCAAGGTCAAGTTTTTGCTAGACTATATGTAGTTCATCCAAAGACGCCGCAATCAATCTTGTCATGTGAACGATCGTGTGGTATTTTCCCAAAGGTGAAAGTTATATAACAATATTCAATTATTATAGGCCAATTAAATTTACTATGTAAGCAATTATAACCTTCATATATTTTAAATACTCTAAATACTAAAACTAAAAATATAATTAAAAAAAAAACTTAATAAGTAACCTATGTCTTCTCAAACTGTATTCTAAATATGTGCCTAAATCCATTCATCTAAACTTTCGCATTTATAATATTAGCAAGATTCTTTTAATACTTAATATCCATCTTGCTTTTTTATACCTTTTATTGACTTATTTAAATATTTAGATATTTAACTCGACAGATAACGAAAATTTATTTCAACAAAATCCATGAACAGCATGGCAAATGTTGTTTATGATTTTGTTGTATAAAATTATCAAAGCAAATACGTAGTTTCGGACAAGTATTATATTTTACTACAACTTCCGCATACTCTACTGGCGTGTAAGGTAATAAAATAACAAAATTATAAGCAGACGCGAACGTGGGAAGCTTATGAGATTGTCAGAAGTAAACACAAGCTACGACATCTAGAGATATTTTTTTGCAAACTTTATTCGTAGCACACGACAACCGGGTATAGTGATTGAGCTATACAACAAAGACTTGCTTTCATATAGTACGTTTTAAATAAGAATGTGAAAAACTAAGTCCATAGAGTGTCGTCATAATTCTTGAAAAAAAAATGGTTAGGTTTAGTAAAGGAGATATTCTTAAATCCTCTTTTAAAGTACTTCATTTCTTTGCTAAAAATGTACAAGAATATTTCAAATCTTCATTAAGGAATTAAAAAAGAAGAGTTGTAGCGAAGAAGACAAAATTTGTCAAATTTGTCTCTTTTTTTATTTTTCAATTTACACTTGGTATTTTGCATACTACGTTAAAATCAAAAAGGCAATGGATATTTACTATATTAAGGGATTACTTCGTCAACAAAACGTTTCTATGTTCAGTTGTATAGGGAAACACATTTATTGCCGTAATAAATCAAAACAGACTTCTGAAAATAATAAAAAAAACTAATTTTGGCTGAGGTCCTTTTATATTTCACCGAAATCCGTAAAAAGCTCGCATTCAAAGAGCGGACAGGAAAACGTTTTAGCGCATTACGAATGAAAGAGTTAACCAAAATTTGCAAGAAAACATCTTTTAGAATTCTTCTATTTATATAAATACCAAATAAATAGATGCAAAAAGCTTTGCAAAGCTTTTTTCAAAAAATATAAATTCGCTATTAAAATATTTATAACATTGTTAAATACATTTTTTTACTTCTGTAATTATAATATTATTAATATAAAAATACTCGTTTCGTTAAACAAGCCATCAAGTCTAATCCAATTTCACAAATAACTGCCGCACATATCCGGCCATAAACGTCTCAAATCATATTTCGTGCTATTATTTGTTTGTAAAATGGAGGAGAAATTTTATGTTACTTACTTCGTTGATTTTGTTAACATGCAGAGTAAAAGTTGTCTAAAACTGCGTAATAGACATTTACGATAATATTTCGTATATTTAAGTATGAAATTTGTCTAATTTTCTCGACAACAATTTTCTTTTTGGTGCACTTTAATTAATGATCTTCTAGTAGTTAAGTAAAGGTTTTTCTTTAGTATACTGACACCGAAGTTTCATTGATATAATGAGAGATTCGCGCCCACGACGTACTTCGCGTAGGCGTGGGCGAGCTGAACAAACTGTAAGTGGGCGCGCCGCCGTAAATATATTTTTAGAAAGAAATTTGCAAAAAAAAGACTGATCACTTCAGTATTATAGAACTAGATAAAGTCTTTTATAAGTGACAATAATCCCTATTTAACTTAGCTGCATAATTTACGTAGTAATCGTCGATTGTCGTAGTAAAATCACGAAATATATCTCTATGGTAATAAGAAAGTTCTGGACAATTTGAAACAATCAATAATTAACGGTGGCTTTAACTTGGTCACGTGTTTAAGAATTATCATGACGTTTTACTTTGCAAATTTCACAGAATATCATTCTAAGGATTAGTAGTTAATTTAATATTTTTACGTTAAATCTATTAGGTATCTATAAAATCTATTTCAAAGTCTATTCTTCATCAGTTGTTTATAAATATTAATATTGAA